TCCCCCGGCGTCCAATTCTACGGTGCTTATCCCAATCAAGTCCAAACGTAGCAAGCGCCGCCGCACAAAGGCCGCGCTTTGGTCCCGTGAACCCTATTTTGACTCCATTCCGAAGAAGCAGGGGAGGAAGCAGAGGAATCTCTTCGCCGGTAATCATGGCGGCGGCGAGAGGCAGTGCACGCACTGCGGCGTAAGGAGAACGCCGCAGTGGCGAGCGGGACCGTGCGGCCCTAAAACGCTGTGTAATGCTTGTGGAGTCCGGTTCAAATCAGGCCGGCTGCTGCCGGAGTATCGGCCGGCGTGTAGCCCGACGTTTATCAGTAAAGTTCATTCAAATAGTCATAGGGAAGTGCTGGAGATGCGCCGGAGGAAGTATGAGCAGAGCTGACCGCACCTTGTCTGAATTGAATTAAAAGCTGATTTTTTTTTTTTCTGGAGGTATAAATTGAATTTATAAGAGGCGAGAATTTTAGGGAAAAATATTACATCACGATTCTTAGCATATAGTTACTTTCGGAGTTGGTGTGCCAGAAAAATAAAAAAAAAAATCATTTTAGTGCAGTAGAACATTTCCTCCGTATTATTCTGCATTATTCAGGTATTGTTGTGGTGTTATTCATCTGTTATTGTGTTCTCGAAATATTTCCAATATTATCATAACATAATATCACATCAATACCACCACAATACACCTGAATAATGTGGAATAACACAGGAGAAATATTCTCCTGTGTTACCGGCCCATATCACAGGAAAAAACACACGTTTCCTTGAAGCTACGTGTCCGCATATCAGTGGACTCCGAACGTAGTTCTATGTTAAGAGTTTTTTCCGGGGTTCTAAGTAGGGTAGGAGTTTGATGGATATCGGCTTCCTAATTTAGTATTTGTAGATGTAATAATTAGTTAATATATTTCGAGTCATTATTCAGAGTTAGGTGCTATAAAATAATTTTTTCTTTTTGAGTTGATGAAATCATTTTTAATAATATTTTCATACAGGTACAGGTTGCGTGATTAAGCTTGGGGTAGGAGTCATAATGTATTTTTTTTTTAATTTTTAACATTATTTCTTTTTTATGAAACTGAAATATTTGTATGGTTCTTCAATATTGTGAAGGCATGAGGCCACCTTCTTGTAAACTGATTGTTAGTTTGAATAGAATAGTTTTTAAACATAATTAATATTTGTTTTTATATTAGTTTGAATAGAATAGTTTTCAATTATAATTAATATTTTTTTAATATTTTTTTTTGTTGAATCTTTTTTCTAATATTGTTTAGTGAGAGCATGGCTTGAAAGAATTTAATATTGCTTTAATCTATGCTTTAATTTTGATATTCATTAATATAATATTTTATTGTCATAAATACTTCAAGAGATTTGCATGATAAGGTATGCTTGAAAGTATTTAATATTGCTGATATTTTTTATGCCAGGTTAAACACTGAATGTTATATAAAAAAAATGTCAAATTCAAAATATTGGCGGCGAATCATCAAACTCTATCGTAGGTGCTCATTGAGAGAAAGTCAGAGTTAGTCAAACCACCCTGCGGTTGAATCGGGGTTCTTCCAACTACCCCGAGTACAGAAGCTTGAACAAAGCTTGACATCGACGAATCGACACCCGCGAACGTCTCACACAGTAAAAGAAGTTAACAAAAAGGGATCGTTTCCACATACCCAGTTATCGGTTCAGTTCCGACCATCGGATGGAAGGTAAACTCTCACCAGGACCAAACGTGCCACCAACCAAGACTCTCCTGAAGTCCGACCTCAGAGGCACAGCTGATGCAATCCTGTCCACGGGTCCCTGTGATGGTGCAAGAACCCGACCCAAGGGGACTCCAATGGCCTCTCTCCAAGGCAGCCCCTGACCTGGGCTCTGCTTAGCTGGGGGATCATAAACAACCACCAGAGGAGACATCAGAACACCTGTTGATCACCCATCCATTCCTTGCTATGGTCGAGATTCAGCGAGCCAGAGGATCCAACCTCATCATTATCCACCATCCACCTCTTCTTTGAAGCGAGCTGCTTCTTTTGCCTTGTCCCCTCAGGTCTGGCCTTTTCCTTCGTTTTTCTAGCCTTAGAGGGTTTCCTCGTACTGCCAGGCCAATTCTCCTCAAAGGCTTCTCTCAGCACGTCTTCAGCAAGGGCTTCTAGCGAAACCTCTTGTTGCTCGCCATCACTGCCACCCAAAGCTGGCCGACCTATACAATGCACTCACAGGAAATGGGATGATCAAAATGCCATTTGTCCCTATTAATAGAAGATCACAGGCGCAAAAAATTAGGGAAGTTTCGCTATTAAAGCATAGATTTTGACATAAATGAAAATGATTTTTCTATTAAATTCTCTTATTTCTATTGTAGCACGACTTTCAAGAAACAAGAGAATACGAGAAACTAAATATGTATATCCATAATGTGCCAGCTCAAATCTTGGAAGAATCCAATGGACCTAAAAGACAAAGTGCGGTCAGAGATGGCCCACTAGAAGTCAAGAACCTCAACAACATGAATCTAAATAATCTCATACCTAACCAATGGTACTCTAAGAAAATGTACAGAACTTGTTAAACAACAACACCTTTTTGAAGCACAGACCTCCTATGGGACAAAATTATCGAGTCCCTCAATACAACATTATAGATCTTCTCAAAAAAAAAAAAAAAAAAAAACCTTAGAGATCCCCAACCCCCCAAATGATCGCCAGCACATAATCTGACACCTATACAACTCTCGGGCAACTTCCTTGCTGTAGGGGTGGAGCTACATGTCAGATTACTGTCAAAGGGCCTCTGCTCGATAGCCTAACTTCATCTTAACAACTGAAGTCATCAAAAGGAGATGATAATTGGTAACTAGATCCACAACTCGACTGACGGAAAGACCTTAGTTGAGTTGACCAATGGCCCTTGATTGAGCTAACTGATGACCCATATGCTGGCTAAACAAAGGACTACAACATAATCAATCAAAGATACTTGACTCAACCGGCCAAGGGCCTATATTTTGATTGACCGAGAGCCATAATCCGATCGATCGAAGACCCTCAAATAAGCATAATGAAGCTCTAGTTTCAGACAACTGGTGTATGAGACAGCCAAGTTAGAGACCTCTTTTTATTTTATTGATTCATTATTTTTATCATGTACTAATTTATATTCAAAATATCCCGTGGGGTTCTTATTTCAAATAGGGTTAGGCAGGTAATTGTGCACTTCATCCCCCATAGTCTATAAATAGGACATTTTTTATGTAGTAAGAGGTTAATATACTATTCAAGCTAACTTGGATTCTTTTCCTCTCTCTCTCTCTCTCTCTCTCTCTCTCTCTCTCTCTCTCTCTCTCTCTCTCTCTCTCTCTCTCTCTCTCTCTCTCTCTCTCTCTCTCTCTCTCTCTCTCTCTCTCTCTCTCTCTCTCTCTCTCTCTCTCTCTCTCTTCTATGTGACATGCATCAATTTTATGTGATACTACCTACTTTTTATCTTGTAATATACATATTATTTACTTTTTTATCATGATTTAATGTTTGTGAAAGGACATTGGAGCTATTTTGCAAGTTATATGTGTCCATCATGCAAAATAAAGTCAAAACTCGTGATTTAGTGTTGTATGACATTGTCAGACCTGATATAGTCATGAACATGCCAGAATTGGCGTGACCGTGCCAGTTTCGTGCATGACCACGTCGGGACTGGCGTGAACAAGCCACCAGACATCCAAAACTCGTGTTTTGCGTGATTCCATGTATATTTTGAACCTTTTAATGAGTTTGGAGAGTTTAGATGCTTATTTCAAATTTCCTAATGTAAAACCTAAATATAAATATGTATTTGTGTGTTGAGGGAACTTCTTCTTGGCCTCTTGGAGGCTTGGAGAAAGATTCTACATTAGGGAGTCATTGGAGGCTGCTTGCGGCAAAAGCTGGAGGGAATTTGAGAGCTTTTTTCAAGGTCTTTTTCCTCATTTGGTGGAAACCTTGAGGGGTGAGTTTTTACCTTTATTTTGTGAATTATGAGGGATTTGTGTGAGAGGAATGATTGTTGTCATTGTGGAGAGAACAAGTTATTATAAGTTTTAAATGTTTTTATGTCTTAAACTGAATTCTTGCATAGTTTTATTTGCTATGATTTTCTCGATAATGTGTGGCTAATTTCATTCTTTCTATCTGTGTAATGTAGGGGTAGCAGATTTAATCATGAATTTTTCGTGATAATTTTTTTGTTAGTGTTATCTTATGCTTCTATGGCCTATGTTGTTGGTTAACCTATGAACTTAATTTACTCCAAATCTGGCAAACTAGAATGTTAAAATATTTTGTTAAGCTACAACCTCTAACTCTTGTGTAGCCTCAGAATTCTAAGAGGATAGACTCATTTTAGTGGAATTATGCAATCATCCTTGGGGATCAACACATTTTTGAGAAACACCATGGAGATTGAGGGTGCCTCAACTTCATGGATTCTAGGCTTCTTTTGATCTAGACAAAGAAATGAGGAGTAATATATCTATGATTGACAAAAATCATATAGGAACATATTTAGGAAAGACATGATCATCATGAACCTCAAATCACAGAGGCACGAGCCTCATCAATCTTGATGAAGCTCACCAATACTTTCCTGTTGATTCTATTTTCTACTGTCTATAATTTTCTTTGTTTCTACTAGCATTTTAGGACTTAAACCATATTTGCAATCACTCCAAGCTAGGTTCACAAAACCAGTAAGCTAGAGATTTTCTACAGAAATAATTTTAGACTTTCATAGTATGATTGATACACAAACTCTTAAATTGTATACTGCTTAACGCGTGCACTTGCATTGTACAACCGACTTACTCTGTGGTAAGCTTTGGCATCATTATCGAGGAAAGACATGAATAACTATTTATGATTTTAGGAGAAATTTAATTGAAAAACTTATGATCTAGGTTTAACACTTTTATTATTTTTATCTTTATTTATTTTATGTTTTATTTTGTTCTTGTGTTTATTTATTTTCTAAAAAAAATAACACAAAAAAATGTTTCAACACTTTGAAATGAAAAACCCTTGAGAAAATTAATTTAGATCTTTTGAGGAGTACATTAACGCATTGATGACTAGCCTTCACAATCTTTAACCCTTTGATATAGGAGCTTGATTTGATCATTCCTCTTTTAATACCTACAACCCGAACTGGACTACTTACCCTAACTCTAATTGGAACATTAATGATATTAGTATAGAAAACTGTCATTACAAGAGAACTCAAGCCAACCTTGTAGAAAATTGGAATAATTGTGGCAGGGATCACATTTGTCAAACTCAACCTTGGGAAATCACATAGAAACCCCACTTTGGGGAGAATAACCTGTCGTTATGGGAATTGTTAGTAAATTTGAGGAATGAATCAAACACCAACACCAAAAGTTGGTTGACCTACCCAATCTTAGATTGGAATAATGATAATCATAGAGTAGAC